ACAAGGGTCAATAGGTTCAAGGCAAACAATGAGGATGTTGATACAGCTCAGTTGAAAGGGTACTCTTGTGACATCAAATTCACAGGTGCATGAAAATTCCATCACTTTTATGTTCTTCTTTTTAACCTTTTCTTGTCAATCCTTAATTGGAGTAATATCTTCTTATAAAACTGAAACCTACGAGGTCTTAGAAGTAAGATATGGACTACCCAACTAAGTGCATTGGGTATTATGTTCTTGGTTCCAGCTTTATGATCAATGGCAGAGGAATATTGCTGCAAGAAAGAAATCTATTTACCATGTTCATAATTCAATTTCTTTAGGTAGTGTATGTATTGAAGTGACCCACAGTTGGAATACAACACAAACTCCTTGAAATTGAATGGTGATGCCAATAGCACAGAGAAATGAAGGCTAATTGTGTTCTTATTTTATATAATAGTTGCCGTTCAATCAGTTTTAGTGGTATAAATGATTTATATATTGCTTCTTTATCTTCCAAAACTCGTTTATATCACAATTAATTTGCAAATATGGTCAGTCTCCTTAAGTTAGTGCATTTATTGATATTGAATATATTGAAAATGCTTGAAGTCTCGTCGGCTTATATAATTCTATTATCCATTTAACTTGCCTATTTTTGTACTAAAAATCGTCGTTTTCAATCCTCTTCGTTTAAAAAAATTTTCGGGGGCTCCGCTCCCGAACCCCCGGGAGGGGGCCCGCCTCTCTCCACCCCTCGTATTTTCGCCTCAGGCCCCAAAAATCACAGAACCGGCCCTGGCTGTAGGGGCAATAGATGGTACACATATTGCTGCGAACATCCCCTTAGAGGAGCAAGCTAGGTATCGTAATAGAAAGCAAGTGATTTCTCAAAATGTTTAAGTAGTTTGCACATTTGATATGAAGTTTACATATGTGCTTGCTGGTTGGGAGGGATCCGCACATGATGGTCGATTGTTACGGAGTGCAATATTACGCCAAGGACATAAGCTAACAATTCCTTTTGGTAAGTTGTATCACTTCTTTGAAAATATTATTTCTCGTACTAGTTATGATAATTAGATAATGACTATGTAATGAGTAACTCTGTAATAGGTAAATATTATCTTGTCGACGCTGGCTTCCCATTGGTTCCGGGATTTCTTGCACCATACCATAGAACTCGTTATCATCGTAGAGACATTGAGGGTCAACGTCCAGAAAGTGGCAATGAGTTGTTCAATTTTCGACATTCATCTCTACGTAATGTTATTGAGAGGACAATTGGTTTACTTAAAAAAAGATTTGCATATTTGAGACATCAACCCTATCACGATATTGACACACAAGCAAAGATAGTACTTGCTTGTTCTGCCATCCATAACTTCTTAAGGATTGATGACGTGGAAGATGTTTGTGAGGAGGACTTGGATATTAGCGATGATGAGGTAAACCCTACACATGTTGATGTACCTGAAGATGACACTCCAAACGCTCACATTTCTTTCACAGCTCAGGAAACATGGTCTAATAAGAGAAATACAATTGCTAATTTAATGTGGGCCGATTATCTTCCCAATCAGAATGCGGGAGTTGATTTTGATTGAATCTGTTTTTTTTAATTATTATGTATTTATGTTCTTATGTAATGGACATAATCTTGATATAATTTTATATTTAGTTATTACTTAAATTGAAGACACATTATATTAGATAGAATTTTCTCATGTCCTTATGTAATGGTTGACATAAGGTTGCTAGATTTTTAAATGTTTTAATTGGAATTTTTGTTAATGGAAACAAATTGTTGGTATATATTTTTTACATGCTATTATTTAATGGTTGACCATGAACTTTTAATATTGCAATAGAGGTTTCATGGCACATAATCGACAAAACTCTACGGCACCTTTTCGAGTTCCTAGACCCACCACTCATTTAGATGTAGAGGAAATAAGTTCAACCGAAGTGGATCCTAATTCTAGGACACGTCATGTACGTTGGAGTGATGCAATGGATGGATGTATGATAACTGCACTATTGCATCAGTTGTTGACTGGTCACAAAAGGAGTGACAACGGCTTTTCATCATATCACGTGTCCAAAGCAATTGAGAGCATGTACAACGGATGTGGAGTCATGGTATCAGATAAGAATGTAAGGGCACGATTGAAGACTCTAAAAAAAGAATATGTTGAAGTTCGTCAGTTGTTAAATATGAGTGGTTTTGGGTTGGATCCTGACACTGGACGTGTTACAGCAGATGCACTAGCCTGGGAAGAGTTTCTGAAGGTATAATATTTCATTGACCAAGGACATATTATTAGTCATTACATTTTAATATCATAGTTTCTTTTAGACATTGACTACACATACAACATAACCCCCTTTTTTTGTAGGGAAAACCAGAATTCGGAAAGTGGAGGACCAAACTTTGTCCTCGTTATGATGATTTGGAGGCTATATTTGGAAATGATTCTGCTACAGGAGATCGCGCTGTAACCGGCAATGACAATTTCTCCCCCATTCATGGTATGTAAAAGATCGTAAATAATAAATATGTAATATTCATTTTATATAAAAAGACTCTAACGAGTTATTTTTTATTATATTTCAAATGAAAATGTGAATGAAGTTGACGATCAAAACGAGGATATGAATCAAAGCCCAGTCCGCGCTCCGAAGCGTAACACCGAAGGAAGAACCAACAAAATTCGACGTCGACGTACAGAATCCCATGATGAGAGCCCCATTGCCCTGTCGAGCATTGCCGAATCGTCTAAAAGAATTGCTAATGCTATGGAGCTAAACCACATCAATTGGCAATTGGTTCTAGAAAAATTACAAGGCATGAACATAGACAAACGTGACATACTTCAAGTCATGAAACTATTTGAGTCGGATGAGAGTCAGGCTAGAGTATTTATGAGCTTGACCGATAAAGATTTCATGCGTGATTTGGTATATGGGAAGCTTGGTCGTGATCCACCTCCGCTACTTTAGGATGGCGTACTTGGATAATTCAACAACCATACGTAAAAGTGTGATATCTATGTTGGTTTGAATTACTACTTTCTAACAATAGAGGATCATTGAACTTTATTACTTTATGTCATTTTTTTGGGAGGCAAATGTTCCTAGATTGGTTAAAGCTCAATTTAGGTGGTGGATTGATGGTGAAGCATTGTTTTAAATGGTTTTAAAGTTGTAATAATGGATTCTCCTATTTTGTTATTACAAATGCTTGTTGCCACCATAATACACCGTTTAAAATGCAGATGTAGAGGATACTTGGTTTTTTTAACTTATAAATGATTTGTACGTAATGCTTTTGTTATTTTCAATTTATTTTAAAAATTTTTACTTTTAAAAAAATAATTGGTTAGTAAATGTTGAATACGTATATGATAAAAGTTGATAAAATTCAATTAATTAGTAAATTTGTCCGGGGTTTGTTTCCCTTGATTGAACAATTTTCATGGAAAAAGTGACAATTTCCATGGAAAAGGTGACAAGTTCCATGGAAAATAGTTGCTATCAAACAACAAAAGTTGGAAAAAACGACAATTTCCATGGAAAATAATGTCTATCAAACACCTAAATATGGAAAAGTACAATATTTTCTAGGTGAAAAATTAAGTCAATCAAACGCATTTAATTGACCATTTCCATGTAAATAATTTCTAGGCAATTGAATTGCCTCAAAAATATTTTCTTTCCATGCAAATTCCATGCTTGCAATCAAACACACCCTTACATCATTGTCAGTTTGTCACTTGTCAAAAATAGGTTGGGCCATTCCGGGTCAAACCTGATTTTCGGCCCATTCTTAGTTTCAATTGTATATGGGTGAGGTTGACCATGTGCCTAACTTTGGGTTTGTTTAACTGGGCTTGCTATCTTAGCCACTTGGGAGTACATGTACAGGGCAACCAGCATCATCCTACTCTCTTGATTTAAAGTGATGAAAATCAACTTGGGAAAATTAGGCTCAATACCCTAAAAAATGAACTTATTTGATTAATACCCTGTTAACTAATTAAAACATATAAAAACGTAATTAATACGTTACAAAATCCCCCAAATCTCTAAACCACGTACAATCTATAGTCACCGATAATTCTTAGATTTACACCTATTTAACAGAAATTACAAGATTTTTAGGTAGAATCTTTACTTTCCTTGGTTGGCATTCCAGTTTGTGGGTCATTTGGAGGTTAATGTCTTTTGAAAGTAAGATTTATGAAGTTCTCTATTGCGATTTCTAGTTTTTGTGAAATTTCAAAGAGTTTTTGTTTGTGAGTTTGGACAAGTGTTTATTTGGCGACTGCCCCACCGTCAACATTGACAAGCTTTGGTCTCTTGTACCTCTCGAAGTCAAGGCACAAGCTCTGGCTCAAAAGGGCTCTGTTGTGCCCATGGTTGATGTGACCAACTTTGGTTTCTTCAAGGTTTTAGGCAAGGGGATGCTGCCGCCAGCCCATCCTGTTGTTGTCAAGGCGAAGCTTGTGTCTAAGATTGCAGGGAAGAAGATTAAGGAGGCTGGTGGTGCAGTTTTGCTTACAGCTGAAGTAGGATTTTTGAACTCTTTTTTTTATTGATATTCCCGAAGTTTGAAGCTATATTATCCCTGGAATTTTGCTTTAAAGTAACTTTCAATTAATATCTTTTTGGTTCATTATATGCTCGGATTATTTGAATTCTTGGTGTGCATTTCTAGTTTATGCTATTTTGAATGTGCTACTGAGCGAGATCAAGCTGAAGTGCATAAGCTTGTTTCATAATTTTGTTATCAACAAGGGATAAATTTGGGTTACAGTTGGACCATAAAGATTTGTAAAATCGCATGACATAAACAAGTTGAACTTTCAATTTATTGAAAACACAACTTTAAGTTTATTTTCACTAGATAGCTTAATCTCTTTTGTGTGAAGCCATTCTACATGTTATGATATAAATCTTTATGGCAAGCAATTTGTCTCTAGGAGATTTGATTGTTTTACCTTTGAGAATTATTACAATTATGACTGAATCAAATGGATTCACGAAAAGGGCAAACATCCAATTTGTTGAGAATAGGCTTTAGTAGATGTTAGGATCCCAGTTCCAAACTTATGAAACTGTAATGTGGAGTTTGATGCATTAATTTGAAGCTTACGCTGCACAGTTCATGAAAAATCATATCTTGTCACTTTTTCGAATGTTAACATTTTTTTTTTAACTTTTTGTCAATTTTTTGAACGTTTGTCACTCTTTTTTTGAATTTATGTCACTTTTTTAGTATTTGTCACTTTTTTATCACTTTTTTTTATTGTTTATTATTATTATTTTTTAATTTATGTCACCTTTTTAGTGACAAATCACTTTTTAATAAACGTGACATTGTATTTCACTTTTGAGTTTGTATTACTTTTGGAGAGTGCGTCACTTTTTTTTAGTTTTGTCACTTTTTTTGAGTTTGTGTCACTTTTTTTAAAAAAGTAAAAAAGTGTCAATTTTTATAAAAAAAAAAAAAAGTGACACAATGTCACTTTTTTCATTTTACACAGTATTTTTTCTTCCTAAAAACATTTCATATGATTTTTTAAAACATCCCTAATTTAAAGGGTATTTTTGTAAGTACCCCAATCAACATTTGAGCATTTGATAAATAAAATTACTTTATTATTGTGTATAAAATTATGAAAATTGGGACATTAGTTATATAAATGTACAATATATTGATAGCATTGTAAAATTTATTTTTATTTTCATAATATATATTACTATTAAGCCCCCGTTTGACACCCATTTTTTATCTCATTCTCATTCTCATTTTTCTACAGTACTCATTTCTAACCATACATTCTCCAAATAAAATAATATTACACATAAACCCAAAAATTCTTCTTACTTTTTAACCACACATTCTTTACATCAATCACTATTCAAAAACTCATTCTTCAAAAGAATGGGTGCCAAACGGGGGCTAAATATTTGTCTAATATAATATATTATTTTAATAGGGAAAAAATAAAACAAGAAATAAAATCATAATCCATATAGGAAAAAATGGAACTAATGTACTTTATTAGGTTTCCAGAGAAGTTAATTTATGTCAACGATATTGCATGGATAGGGATTCTATTTATTTAGAGTTTACTCATTAAGTACTCCTTACCCCCTGTTTGTTTTCCATTTTTCCCTTCATTCTTTGAATTTTTTTTATAGTTGGTGGGCCAACCTGGCCCCCACCATAGAGATGAAAATTCAAAAAAAGTTACTGAAGTGGGATCTCAACGGTCACAATTCTCATTTTGTCAAACAAATAATACACAACAAACAGGGGCTCATAGATAATAGCTCCACCTCCGAACCTTATTTATGCAAGCACAACATTATCTTGATTAGAACTTCGGCTCATTTCAAGTGTCAATATCGTAGAGTTAGCTTGCCTTTATAATACTTATTCACTCGTTGTCAGTATAGATAATTGAAGAAGCTAAAATCACAACACGAAAAAGCTACCATTTTTTTACTTCTCAAAATTTGCTTTTACATGATACAAATTCTTTAATAATTAATTCTTTTTTAAGTTGACCAAACGCACAATCCCAAGTTGGATCCGAAAAGGAGCCTAAGGGAGAGACTAATAAATTAGTTTTAACTTTTAAGTACCACAATATTTCTACAGTCCTAGGTAAATTTTGTGATGGCTAAGGTTTATGAGGTAAGTTCAACATCTATTTGGATATTTTAATGTATTGTTTTGTTTCATAGTACTGAACAAAATTAAACCAAGAAACTAAATCAATTTTTTTCGTCCAACACCAAACATGTCCTAATTTCACTATGTTTAGAGGGGAAAAGAAACTCAGGAAACAGCCAAGATCTTATGAATGACCAAAATAAGCTTTGTTGGCATTAAGCAACTAGGTTTAAACAAGCTCAACCAAATAAGAATTCACCGATAAAGCTCGACATCATCTTGCATCTCCCTGGGTGATTCCTAGATCATGATTTTGAAAGAGGTTCTCCCTCACACTTACGCAGTATTGAACAAGACTGAACAGTATAATGAACAAAATTTTAATATATACTGTAAGTATAATATTGCCGAGAACCATCCCACATTCCCTAGCGAAGATGCACTAAAAGGAAATGTCTTTCCCTTGACATGTTTCTCACCAGGAATGACAACAACGCTGCCAAAGTCGAAGCACTCTTCTTTTCAAGCAAAAAGATAAAATTTTAAGCGATATAGCTTCTTGGAAGCTAACAAAAGTATCAATAGTTTTCATAAGTATCCAGCTCAAGCGGTATATCTAACCCTGTCCTTGAAAGTTACAGACTCGAATCATTCTAGCTAGAAGTGTGTTTTCCAAACAAAAAACTCAGAACCCCAGAACTGGGAAAATAGTGACAAGTTCATCAAAGAATAAGTAGAAGATGAAAGAATTTTCAAAAACAAGGAGTTGATGTCAATCAAACTGAATCCCAAATAAGTAGTCTTCTTCAAAATAAATCTACCTATTATGACTCGGAATGCCATACAAGGAATTCCGTAGAAAAAGAGTATAAACAAGAAAAAGGTTTTTCATAATTTCATTTTTTTTTAATCATACAAAATCATAATTGACAACAAGAATTTGGTTCTTTTTACGAACTGGAAGTGAATAAATCCGCTTGTCTAGAAATTTATTTCAGCCAATTGAACCTTCTCAAACTGTTTCTTTTTAAGAACCCAAAAGATTTGTGCCGAAATAAAAGATGCCAAGAATAACAAAAGGCCTTGATGATAAAGGTAGAGACAACCACTTTTCCAAAATGCTATTGCTGATACAAAAGGCATAATCTTACCCTATATATCCCAGAATCAAGCTCGAGAATCTACCTCAAGCACTATCCATTTGGGCATTTACTTCGAAGTATCCCTTACGAAGATGGCCCATCTCTATGTACAGAGATCATAGGAGAGACAATTTAGCCCTATATCACCCAGGATCAGGCCTAGGAATCCACCTCAAACCTCAAGCACTATTTCTTTCGGCTTTTACTTCAAAGTATCCCTTATATGTGTAGGCAAAGTCGTGTTGAAGGACTAAATATGAAGGTTTGGTCTTGGGAAGATTTACAGGTTTGGTGACTTCAATATAAGTGGAGGAAGAGGTACTCTGGTTTAACAATGAGGTGGGCTTAGAAATAAGTCGTAATCTGTAAAGGGTTAATGATGTTGAGTGGAGGTAGGCGGGGGAGTCGGGGAGAGGAACGGTGGTTGGTGGAGGGGAGAGAGAAGAGAGAGGAAGAGGAGAGCGAGGAAGCCATTTATGCAGTGGAATGGAAGTTTTGGTTTGTGTATATACTAGATTGAGAGTCCCACAATTGGTAGTCAATTGGTAGTTAATTGTTCCGATGGTCACTCAAGTTATATCAAGTTATACCTATGTATTCGATTGCTCATTGTAATTTAAAATGACGAGTTTTGATCACTAAGGGTGTGTTTGAGCCACATTACTTTGGAAGAATGTATTTTGAAATTGTAGATTAATAGAGAATGTGTGGTTGAAAAAGAAGGAAAACAGTTATTGATATGATCGAAAATATTATTTTGTTGAAGAATGTGTAGCTGAAAATGAGTAGAAGAATGAGAATTGTAATTTTAATGTGGCTCAAACAGGGGCTAAATTTTGAAAAATATTGAACGTTACTCATTGACTAACTTCTGTTTCAAATAGCTAATGGAATTGATAATGTGGTTGATGAAATGCATATGTGGCGCCATATCACGCTATTAAATTTTGAGGTGGTCAAATTTTGACCACTAAATTTTGAAAAAGTTTTCGATTATTCACTAAACTTTGAAAAATATATTCTAATACTCACTGAACTTTGAGGTCGTCGAATTTTTGCTACTGAAACGTTAAAATATTTGAATTTTAGCCATTGAGCTTTGAGATGGTCGAGTTTTTGCAAAAATCCTTAAAAACGTCTTTTATGGCTCACAATAAATTTGGATTTAATTAAAATTCACTTTTAAAATTTGGATTTAATTTAATTTAATAACATATTCATTGTGTGTTTCGTTGTAAAATTCAAATATTATGATGAAAATAGCTTAAAATTCTACAAAAATAAATTAAATTTAAATTTAACTAGTGTGTAGTTGGGTAATAATTCCTATTGGTATAGACAATGCTTACAAAGACATGCAAAGAAAGTGACTACTAATTGCAATGAAATACACAATATATTTATTATTAAAATTAAATTAAATCTGAATTTTAACAACGAATTTAAATTCTTGTTTGATGGCCATTATTTTAAAAAATGAGTTCTAATTAGTGATTTTTTGGAAAATGTATAGTAAAAAAATAGGAAAAAAATTTGAGTTTGCGTGTAAAATATTTTATTTTATAAATGTGTGGTAAAAAATGAATGTCAAAATTAAAGAATTTTACTTTAAAGGGAAATAAACAGAGGCTTAAATAAATCCAAATTTATATTGAGCAGTAGTATACTTTCTCAAAGTTTAGTGGTTAAAGTTTGACCATATCAAAGTTCAGTGTCCAAAATACCCACTTAAAAGTTCAATGAGCAATTAAAGATATTTTTCAAGTTTTAGTAGCCAAAATTTGACCATTTCAAAGTTTAAAGGTGTGACGAGGCGCCAAATATACATTCCATCAGCCACGCCACCAATTTTGTTAGAGGTTTGAGAAGGAAGTTAGGCCTTTGAATAACGTACAACGTTTTTCAAAGTTTGATGGCTAAAACTCAATATTTTAAATTTCAGTGAGCAATTGAAAATATAAACATAAGTTCACAGACCATTCGAACAATTAACTCCACTTGGAGTAGAAAACAATGTTCAAGCAAGTAAAAAGAGTAGGACTAGCCCCCTAGGGTACATCCCAACTGACAAAGGACGAGACTCTTAGTTGTTGGTAGTTCAGATGTCGAGAGTTCGATTTGTGGGGCTCTGGAAGGTAGACTCTCTCCTAGAAGACATGATTTATCCTGGAAGCAAGTTGCAGCATGTGTTGACTTGTTCGGTACTTTGACAGATCGGTGGATGAGGCTCTTGGACCCTAGCCAGTTTGGGACACATCCCGCGATTTACCCGATCCGCTTCTTGAGGTGCCATGCGTAGACCCTACGATAAGTCGTCGAAAGTGGACACTTGTGCATCAAAAATAAAAATTAAAAAAGAGTAGGACTAGGAGAATACAAGAATTCCCCCTTCTTTTCTCCAACAATTAGATGTTTATTTTTTCGGGAAAAAAAATATATTTCCTTATTAATTTTATGTAATTTTATTTAAATCGACAAAAATATAATTTATGAATCTAAATTCATCGACTAATATTTATCTTCGTTAAGTACTTTATAATACTATATATTCTTTTAGACTTTATATTTAACTGAAATCCTAATACTTATAAAATATTTTCAACTAGAGTCAAAACAAATAATAAAAGAACAGGATTAGAGCATATACATCTAATTAACACCGGTGCTAATTTTTTTGAAAAGCATCATAACATATCCTAGGTTAATATTTGATAATTCTAAGTCACTGTTTAGGCTCCATTTAAGGGGGAAAAAATCTTATTTTCAACCATACATTTTCTAGTAAAATAATATTATACGTAAATCCAAATTTTTTCTTATTTTTAACCATACATTCTCTTAAAAATTAATATTCTAAAATATTTTTTTTCCAAAATATAATTTTATTAGAGTCCAAACAAGAGCTACATGGCATTTACTGTCACCTAGACGACGAGCTCTAAGCATCCCATATGCTAAGCCCTTGTTCGGGTTTCATTCTCCCGTTATACATTTTTCTTACTTTTTTAATAAAATAATATTACGTATAAATTCAAAATTTCTCCTTATTTTTTATATTTACATTCTTCAAAATATTATTGTTTAAAATGTATTTTTCCCAAAATATATTTTTAATGGAGCCCAAACAAATAACATTACTCATGTCCTTAAAGTTAGTAAAAATTACAATTGCAGTCCTTAACCAAATAAAAATAGATCAAGTAAGTGCTCAATCTTCATCTTTCTCCAAAATGTAATATGCCTTATCTTTTCAGTTTCTTGCTCTTTTTCTCACACCCAGTCTCTCTCCAAAATGCAGAACCAGAGCCCCTCTAAAACCCTAAACTCCACTCTCCCCTTCTCCCATCTCACCTCTCTCTCCAGATTCTCAAACCCACTTCTCAAAACCCTACTCCCAATTCGCCATTTTCCCAAAACTCATAAATCCCTCAAAATCGAATCGCTAACTCCGAACTTTCAATTTCCCCGCCAAAATGGTAGCCGCCTACTGGACTTCCGTTCATTCGCCGGACGGAGCAAGGGAAAGCCTGGAGGCCCCTCCACCGGACGTATAGAGGGAAACTCCGAGGTCCGTCGAGAAGCCAAGCGGAATGCTCGCCGGAAAAGTAAGAAACTGGCGGAGAGTCTGTTTTACAGGCTCAAAAATCCCCACAAGAATTACCCGGATAATTTCTCAGAAGAGGAGCTGCAAATGATTGGTCTGGGCTATGATAGAATGGTTAGGTTCATGGAACAAGATGACCCGAATTTGAAGCACCCGTATGATTGGTACAAGTATGGTGAATTTGGACCCTACTCTTGGCGTGGAGTGGTTTTGGGTGACCCGATTCGTGGAAGAATTTCAGATGAATGTGTTTCCATGATTGGTGAAGTCAGGGATCAAGAGGAGTGGGAAAAGATTGAACAGCATGAAATGGCTACAGATTTTCAGAAAAGATTAGATGCTATGGATAAAAATAAGGGGTTGAGGTACTTTTGGGTGTTTGTTCGGCACCCGAAATGGAGGGTCTCGGATTTGCCTTGGCAGCAGTGGACTTTGGTATGTGAGGTTGCACTCGAGGCTGGGGATCAGAGGTTGGACAAGTGGACTTTGATGGGGAGGCTTGGGAATACATCGAGGGCGAAGATCACGCAATGCGCTGCCTGGATGAGACCAGACATCATATACGTAAAGAGGCCAGTGTACCAGTGTAGGTTTGAGCCTCAGGATGAGTTTTTCCGGGCCTTGACTCCATTGCTAGACCCAGAAACTGAGGCTGATTTCTTGTTCGAGTTAGAGACTGATGATGGGAGGGTGGAGTTGTGTACGTATTTTGGCGGGTTATGTAAGATAGTGAGGGTGAATCCGAAGGCATTTGTCGATGATGTGGTGAATGCATTTAATAAATTGAGTGATGAGAAGAAAGCCAAGTGTTTGGGGTTTCTATTTGAAAATCACCCAGTGTTGTTATTGCATCCATATACTAAGGAGTGGAAGGTGAGGCTGGAAGAAATGGAGTTAGGTTGTGACGCGCCGGATGATGATGGTGATGATCGTAGTGATGATCAAATAATGGATGATGGTAATGATGATGGTGATAGTGATGAAGATGAGGATGTTGATGAACAAGATGACATCGTTTTGGATGCAGAAATAAGTGGAGATGATGAATTGGGAATCAAGCAGGACGAGGATTTGAGTCCGGAAGAGGATGCTAATTATTGGGATGAGGAGTTCAAGAAGTCACTTAGTAGTAACGAAGCAATGGAAAAGCTTGTCAAGAAAAGTATAGAGGTTTCCAACAAGTTCTACGAGGAGCAGATGCAGGCAATGAATAAGGAAACAAAAGGAAGTTCTGTGGATGGAGACGAACTGGCAATGCGAGGTAGAAAGGCTAAAGTGAGTCGAGAAGAATGGAAGTTGCTCGGCTATGGTCCGTTTAGGAAGAAGGTGAAAAAGAGTAAGATTCCTCCGGGCGTGTTCTTACGAGCAGCTGTTAGGCCCTTCACCTACAGGAATCTTGTGAAGGAGATTGTTTTGACAAGACATGCTATAGTGGAAGGTGAGATTGGTAGGAAGAAATGAACCCTTTGCTTGTGTATGATAGAAAGATTGTGAATTGGCACCAAGCGTCAATTGGAATCTGTATCAACTGGTCAAAATTCCTTTTTTATGGCTTCATATGATATCTTTAAATGTACAAGTCTCTTGGCAATTTTGTCTGAGCCAAGTATTGGTGCAGAGAATTACGTGGGGCCCTTCTGATAATCAATTGGAATACGATTGCTAGTTCTTTTCTTGTATTTGTTAATGAGAAATGTTGAATCTATTTTTGTCATACTTTCTCCATTCCCATCTATTTCTTGAAGGCTATTGTGTTTGTGTATGAAGGAAAAGTCTACATGTATATAATATATGTACATAATAGTGTCCATAATATAATGTGGACAAAATCCTGTTGTTGATGTGAAAGTGTGAGATTTGAATTAATAGTTGTATCAAGTGCCACATATAATTATAGACATCATTATGTATAGATTTATGTACATATAGCACTTCTCGTGTATAAATGGTGAAATTGCTTAGGATAAGCCTACTCCCTGTAAAATCCTACCGTGTGTAATGCCCAAAATCCTACATAGAAATAATCGTGCTCGGGGTACAATTTGCCATGTGGCAAACTATGATTTGACAGTTCAATAAAAAATAGTTTTTCAACCAATCACCTTTTTACAACAAGGACAATACCAACAAAGTGAAAGCATTGGAATGTACAAATAGCATTGTTCACGTAGAAATTGCCTTGAATTATTATGTCGTACTGAATATGATAGAATAATAACGTCAACTGTCATTGAAGTTTTTTTTTCTTATAGCAATGGTCACTCAAATTTCTAATGTCGCTACAGTACGAGTCGAGCGGTCGAGCCGACGAGCCGCTCGGCTCGATTGCCATCACTAGTTGTATCAAGTGCCACGTATAATTATGGACATTATTATGTATAGATTTATGTACATATAGCACTTCTCGTGTATAAATGGTGAAATTGCTTAGGATAAGCCTACTCCCTGTAAAATCCTACCGTGTGTAATGCCCAAAATCCTACATAGAAATAATCATGCTCGGGGTATAATTTGCCATGTGGTAAATTATGATTTGACAGTTCAATAAAAAAAAGTTTTTCAACCAATGACCTTTTTACAACAAGGACAATACCAACAAAGTGAAAGCATTGGAATGTACAAATAGCATTGTTCACTAGAAATTGCCTTGAATTATTATGCCTTACTGAATATGATAGAATAATTACGTCAACTGTCATTGAAGTTTTTTTTTTCTTATGGCAATGGTCACTCAAATTTCTAATGCTACACTCATGATCATCTAACATTAAATTTTATGTAGCCATTTAATGCCAACGTGTCACCAAACAATGCTATTTATTACATCTAGATATGAGAATATATTGTGGCCTCAATTTTGCTTAGATTTTTTGCTTAAATCATATAGTAGTGTTTTTTTTTTTTTTTTAACAATGGCCATACTCGACGTAACAAGTAATGCTATTTGGCGACATATTAACATTTAATGGTTTCAAATAAGATTTAATGTTAACATTTTTAGATCGAGAGAACATTAGTCTAACGGTTAAAAATTTGAGTGACTGTTATAGTAAGAAAATAACTTCAGTGACCATTAACATTATATTTCTTACTATCAAGATCATAGACTAATTTTACTGGAAAAGTAAATTACAAACCTAGACAAATGTATCAAAATTAAAACTATGTATATTTTACCTCAATAAGAGATCAGTTGTTCATCAAACAAATTACAGCTTTATCCTAGTAAAACATTGAAAAATGCAGAAATTCAAGCCACCATTCCTCAATCCAGCCATTGTGCAGATTTTTTTCTATCATCAATTCAAAAATGAAATAATGCAACAATTCATAGATTGATGATCATGTACATAGCATATTTCCATCAACTAAACAAAATCAGTACACATATACTTCTATAGTTCTATATAACAAGGCAAAAGCAAGAAATCAACTTAAGTACGGCAAACTTGGAAATAAGTCACTCACAAGCCAGTTTTGTCCCAAAACTTGTTAAGCAGATAGCGAAAGCCTGGAAAGCTGACAAAGGCTGCCTATAATCCATCGTGAAAGTATCATCTCCTACCTTCCCGAATTGGAGGAGCACTGTTTCCTCAGCACCCTTACCACCATGTTGACTTTGATCCATAGTCGCAACCAGTTGAAAATTCTTAACCGATGCAGCCGTGACCCGACCATGAAAATTCAAGCACCAACACTCCAACTGTTCGTGCCACCTTGGAACTTTGTTTTTCAAAATGGTGTAACAGGGATCAGAGGATTCGGGACTCTTCATTTTCAAATCATATTCAGAGTTGTTGACTGATGTTGTTCCATCCGAAGACGGGCACTTAAGTGAGCATACCATCCTCCTTGGACCTCTAGACTTCAAGAGATTGAACTTATAGCACACCTGCCCAACTTCAAAGTTAGCAGCCGGAACTTGAGGACTTATCTGCTTGCTTGCTACACGGCGAACAGATCTGCTGCTCGACGGCTTTGCTCCGCCGTGTGGTGGTTGGCTATCATAGATTGAGAAATTAGTACCGAGGAAATCTGACCTGTGAAGTGGAAATGGACATTTTTGTTAAAATGCACGAAACAAAGAAATTGTCTCAAGCACCCTTGTTAGTCAGCGAAAATTAAAAAAAATGCTGAAAATAGGCTTCAACAAATACTGGGATCAATTATATTGATTTCACCATAGAGAAGGTGAGATACAGGTCTGGTTTGCATTGCAAGATTTGAAATCCATACCTCAATTTCCCGACATATGCATTACTTCGTTGAGAGAAATCATTGGCATCAAGTGAGATAATGTACTCGGTGTTAGTACCATTTCTGTATCTTCGTGCGGCTAAGAGAAACTTTCCTTTGTCCACGAATGCTGTCGCAGAAAAAGTGACTTATTAATAAAATCGCAAAGAGCCAAATATAAGGAAATCCATGACAATATATGGGTATAAAAGGTTGGATCTAAGAGGATAGATGACAAGTACTAAGACGAAGATCCATCGAATCTGTATTTTAAGCTAAAATCCGTAAAAGACTTGATGGATTAAATTCCGTAATCAATGTACTTGTTGATGTAGAAATGTAAAGAGAAAGAAGAGAGAGAATTGGAGAATTGAGAGAAAAATGTAGAAATGATTTAATTATCATTGAATAGATCCAATAATTGTCTACATTATTCCATAGCAAAATACGAAAATGGAAAATTTCGGAAACTTAAAACTAATAGTAATGGTAAGAAAATTCATCAAACATTATTTCTTATTATTTAAGCCTACGGTAAGTGCATATTTTCAGCATGTCTTAAATGAAATCTCGATTACAATCTCCATCATTCTGCCGGATGAAGAGAAATTGGCTTTGGCATATAAACTATAAAGACTCCAACTTTGATTGCCAGCACGCGCAACACGGTGCCAGTACCTGACGGCACAATATCATGTGTGACTACCTGCGAAGACTTGTAAAGAAGTAATTTCCCTTTTTCTGATTTTTTTTGGGACAAACGGTATGCCAAATGTTGTAGCTTTAGAGGGGTACGGTTTAACCAATGAGCAGGGTCCAATACCCAAATTGATATAAATGAGAGAGATAAGATAGGGAAGGACGAAATAAATCGAATTGGCAAATTGGGACAAAAATGAAGAGATGTTTGTCTTGTCCCGATATTTTAAGAAAACACCAAAAAATTTGTACTCATTTTCATAAGGTTTGGTCACCAAAATGGGCCTCGATAAGTCAATAGTACAGGTAAGATGAGGTTAATGGTAGAAAATATTTTGTACATCCTCTTAACTTTGAAGGCTAAACTACAATGCTTCATTCAGTTAAACCAATAAGACTGGAGAAACCACGTAAGTTTTCAGTAAAGGAAGCAAACATCAATCAATCATTTAGCATGTTATCTTCAAAAATTTCCAAAAGAACATTTACTTACAAGGTGAGAGTGCAAGATAAAGGTAAAATGTCCCACTCTTCTTGTCTCGTTTTACAAGACACTGATGCGGAGAATCCCGTGGCCCCGGCTGCAGAATGCGAGAAATTAGCTTGAAACATTAGAAAAATGATTCTACTCAAAATCCAAAAATCATACATTTTACCATTGAAACACACATTCTTAAACCCAATACCGAAAGCTCAAATATAGCGTGGAAAATAGAAATCAACTATGAAAGAAGTCAAGAAGCTCGGCCATTCTGCCTAAAACTAATCTCATGTTTTGTACACAGTATTGCATTGGATAAATGGATCTACTCAACATCCAACAATCATACATTTTACCATTGAAACGTGCATTCTTAACCACAATACCTCATGCTCAAACACAAGCTATTAAAGAAGTCGAGAAACTCGGTCATTCTATCTAAAACTTATCACATATTTTGTACACGGAAGTCAACACTATTTCATGGGATAACAAATAAGATTTTTAAATTGTTTCTTCCTTAATCCTATCCATTGTTACCGAGTCCTGCATAACATTTACAAGTAGTGAATACTTTTGGAAGAATTCATCATTCTATTCCTCTAAATCATGCCTAGATTTAATGGTGCGGAAGCTTTTTTTAATTCTTTGTAATAAGAATTATGTAATAAATAAGAACGATATTTGATCATTCATGTCTTGTATATATTGAATAATAATTAATTCTTATTGAAAAAGTGTACAATGTCCCAATATTCGTAGGCAAAATAAGGAAACTAAATTTTAACCTACATTTAACCTTTCAATACCATACCAATCTTGTTACTATCTAATACAAATCCCTATTCACATTCCAATACTAAGATTCAAAATCAAATATCAGATTATGAACAAAAAAGTTGTAAAATTGAACCTTTTTCAGGGAAGGCGGGAAAGTGATATTGCCATCTTGATTTAATAAATAAGAACGATATTTGATCATTCATGTCTTGTATATATTGAATAATAATTAATTCTTATTGAAAAAGTGTACAATGTCCCAATATTCGTAGGCAAGATTATTCCCCACTATATCAAGACAAGGAAACCAAAATAAGGAAACTAAATTTTAACCTACATTTAACCTTTCAATACCATACCAATCTTGTTACTATCTAATACAAATCCCTATTCACATTCCAATACTAAGATTCAAAATCAAATATCAGATTAAGAACAAAAAAGTTGTAAAATTGAACCTTTTTCAGGGAAGGAGGGAAAGTGATATTGCCATCTTGATGAACAGAGGCCTTCTCCACCACCTCTTTGGTTACATCCCTCCACCGCTTGCACACACACCCGCATGCGACTACGTGTTGACGTTGCGGCCATTTGTCTTCACTTTCTTCCACCCTCTGTATAATTTCTTCCAGTATCTCCGGCAGCATATTCGCCCACGAAACCGGGTTCAGAGAACCCGATCCACTATGACCCGATTCTTCAACGACGCCGTTCTGATGCCTGTTTTCGCCATTTTCTTCTTCCTTTTTTTTGCAGTTTTCATCATTAATATTACTGGTAACATCTGTTTGATTTTCTAGGAAATTGAAGGATTTCGAAAGCGTGAATGAACACTGATTTATTCTTCGTGCCAGAAAAGAACGTCTCGGTGACATTGTTTTGTAAAGAAAAGAAAAACAGTAGAGAGAGAAGTGAGATCTCTGTAGAGAGAAGGCATGAACAAGAAGAGAGGAGAGAGAAGTTTTCTTGAATAAATGTACGAATAAAGTGACGTACCTTTGATGTTAGATAAATCACAGACGAATTGACTGAGGAAATCTAAATGAGTTACACGTGTAGGATTCTTAGTTGACTGTTAATATTTATTTGTCACAGTATGATGGGTGGAGAATTCCTTAGATTTTTTATTACCAAAATTGAGGCTATTTCTTCGTTGACAAATTGACTCGGTCGCAATGCCGTTTTGAACCACAAAACGACGACTTTGAAATAGTTTCATAATTTTACAAATTACAATACCTAATGGCCAATGGAGTTCCAGCTTGCTTACAAATCAAGTTGTTTAAGATCGTCGTATTTGACCAAAAGTCAAAAAGACATTATAGTGTTATCATCGACAAAGCTCGCTTTGACTTTCGAGGTGCCCAACACAATTTATTGTGATAACGACGATGATTGTCTTTTGACCTTTTATTTTTAAGACGTAAATGAATATCATTTCGATTTTAATATCTCGAGATATTAATTGTTATAGGAAGACTAATCCTAGAGTCTAGTTTGGAATTATTTTGAGTTTTTTTATCCCAAGTGATTTGGGTCGATTAAAATTTGGTGAACATTGACGTGATTCAGCACAATATTAAGGTTTTAGAATCACTTAAATGTTTTAGTTGTTGCGAATACGCTGATCGATATTGATTATGTTATTAAGTCAGTAGGGCTTCAAAAATTCTTTCTAGCCTTTCTAGTCTTCCTCTCATGTATGTCATTTCTACACAATATTTTAATCCATCTCCTTGATAGAGGAAACTTGTACATTCTTTTAATATGTTAAATATGATTGACTTAGTTGTTTTTAGGATATTTTTTTTATTTTTTAATCATGATTTAAATTGGGTTTGGAGCAAGACCATGTTTCCTTTTACTCCATCTCACTTGCCTTCACATACATGCACTAATGATTGTCTCTTGAACCTTTCTGTGTGCATAGAATACCGTATACACAAAATTCTACCAGACCATACACAGCACAGGTGGGGTCTGCATTTTTTGCGATATTTTATTCATAATGGGACCCACCTCCATGTGAGATTTTTGGTGAAATTCCGTGGCCATTTTTCTGTACAAATGGTTTCAGCCTTGTCTCTTTAATTGACTAAGGCACTTGACGACGATAGGTCGGATTATCATTTGTAAATCGATATAAACTTTAGTAACTAATAGAGTAACAAAAAAATATTTTACTGACCAATTTGAAGTTTCTTCCAAACTTCAGTTACTATTGTTGAAATTAACTCTTAAAAATTGAAAAGTGAGTTTTATTTTCTCTCTCAAGTAGAGATTTTTTTTTCCTCAAAATCTCAAGGAAATAGCATCCATGGAGAAAAAGGAAAGCTCAAAGTTGAATATCGCAATAATTCACCCGGATCTCGGAATCGGTATTTGTTTTTCTATTATCCAAAATTTGTGTTTTTCTAATTTATTTTGCTTCCTTAATTCATCTTTTAATTGCTTCAGTTGTTTCATGCCGTTGAGATTTTGAAAAGCAATCTTGACGCTCTTTTTTTTTTTTTTTTAAAATGAAATATTTGATTTGGGTTTCTGGGTTTTGGTGTCATTGGAAAAATATTTCCTTTCGGATTTAAATTTAGGATCATAATGGTCAAATTGTACAAAAATAGACTGTTAAAAGTTTAATTTTTTATCATATCACGGGAGTGATTGAGATGCTGAAGATGAGAATTGAGTAACATCTGATCAAAGGCTGCTGGCTGGGAGCTCAATTTTTTAGGCAATATATAGAATTAACTGTACGGGTTATAATTTTTTTTCCCCTTTTTTTATCCGTGTAGGAATTTTTAAGAGCTTCCTCTTTATGAACTGTTACGACATTGTGAGCAAGTGAAGATTACAAGCCTAAACATTGTCTGATGTCGAGTATTATAAGTGAATTTTACAGGGTCCATTTTTTCTCCAGATATTGTACACATCTTTAGGAATTTAGCTAGCATAGAGATAATGCTTCAGTTCAGATGCTATATCTGTTCATATTAGTATTGTTGTCCTTTCCTTTTTTTATACTTTTATACGTCCCAACGATCCATACTGGCATTTTTTCATATGAAGATCAGTGGTTGATTACATATATGTACGGGAATTTACTGTCTCGTTAATTTTTAAATCTCGCTGAGCTTAATAGTTCACATATGACTTTATCTGATACCATCTAATTTGTCTTTCACCTCCCTACATAAAAAATTAGTTACTGTAAGCACCTTGCCAAATGTACCATGATACTCAGGTGGAGCAGAGAGATTAATTGTTGATGCTGCTGTAGAACTTGCAACACGTGGACATCACGTTCATGTCTTCACATCACACCATGACAAAACACGCTGTTTTGAGGAGACCGTTTCTGGTATGGGGTTCTCTTTATTTTTCGCTACAAATTTTGGTTTCTTGTCATTTTTTTTTCTTTTGCTGCTTTTGCCTTTTTAGTCAATGTAGATCCTTCTAATACGAACACTGTGCAGGTATCTTTCCAGTTACAGTCTATGGTGCCTTCCTACCGCGGCATGTTTTCTATCGTCTACACGCAGTGTGTGCATATCTTCGGTGTATTTTTGTTGCACTTTGTGTGTTGTTTATGCATCCTACTTTCGACATTATACTCGCAGATCAGGTCTCTGTTGTCATTCCACTCATGAAGTTGAAAAAGTCATCAAAGGTTCGTAATATTTCAAATTAATTGAGTTCAACATTATTTAATAGTGATCGATGTAATTTTTTTTTTTTTTTTTTTTTTGTTTTTTTAATTTAGGTGGTATTCTATTGCCATTTTCCGGATCTTTTGCTTGCTCAACACACAACTGTTCTTAGGAAAATGTATCGCAAACCTATAGACTATATAGAAGAGATAACGACAGGTCTCCTTGAGCTTCTTCACATGATCTGTGGCAATTAACTTCCTCTGTATTTACTGTACATTTTTCTTTTCTTTTCTTCTTTTTTCCATTTTAGTTCTGATTTCTTAGATGTACTTTCTGAAAAATTTTAGGTATGGCGGATTTAATTCTTGTCAACAGCAAATTCACTGCATCTACTTTTGCAAAGACTTTCAAGCATCTAGATACCCGAGGAATAAGACCTTCTGTGCTTTACCCTGCCGTCAATGTGGATCAGTTCGAGAAACCTACTGCTAACAAGTAAAAGAGACGATATTTATCTTTTGGCATCTTCTGGTTCTAGGATTGATTAAAAATGAATTCTTCTTCATGCATCTGTCCCCCCTCACACCTAAAGTCTCTGAACAAGTTAAAAGACGAAGATACAAGCGGATAAATAATGAATAAAAGCCTCTCTATATTCTAGCAGTCTAAGATCTTGTGTACATTGCTCAAGTTTGAATTTTCTCTCCATCAATCGGTTTGAAAGGAAAAAGAACATAGAGTTAGCTATATCTGCCTTCGCTATGCTTTACACTGATCCACGGAATATCATACAAGGTGACAATGAAAATGGAGTTTCCTTGGTTATTGTAGGTGAGCTTTGTCTGTTTTTTCCCAGGGTGAATCTTATGCATCATATTCACTACATCTAATTCTTCCAGATTTTGTGAAGGATATTCTATCATAAATACATCTCTTGCATTAAGATTTATTTTCCAACTGTTATACGGCTGTACCACAAGCATTCCACTCTGTGGTAATCATATTATATTACTTTCACTTCACTCTTTGTTTTTAGATTTTTTATCATGTAATAGAGACAACAAAATATCGTTGACCAACAAGTGTCCATTTACCAGCTGTTGATCATTAGACGCCCAAACAATGTTGTTTATAGTTTGGGTTTTGTGTGGAGTTAGGAAGGCAAGTATTAATAAACCCAAAATCATTGATGATGTTGTTACTGTACTGTTTTCTCTTTATGCATCGGAAACCATCCAACGGAATATTCCTATTTCTAGGAAATTGTGACTGTTTTCGCTTGTACCATTCCCATCAGCCATGAAATAGCTGGAATAGCGATATTCGTGGACAGCATATGATTGACATTTGATTTAGTCCAAAAGAAATTTGTTGGAGGAGACGGTCAAACTTAGTGTATGATACTATTTTCTTTACTGTATCAATAGACTTTGTCTTATCTAGTCTGCCTAAGGTCAATGAACTCGTCTGCAATATACTCCTTCCTACATGTTAATATCTTCATTGTGTTTGTGTGTGTGTGTAGGTGGGTGAGTGAGTGGGTGGGTTCTTTTGCCGTGATTTACTATTCGTGTTTGAAAAATTACGATGGGTTGTCTGGTTTAGAAATTTGATCCTATACCTAGACATCATTTTTTTAGGTTGTGCACATTTCAGGCAGTTCACGTACTTTTTTCTTCTCTTTCAATGTCAGGTGGTTTTGATAAACGCCTCAGAGAGAATGTCGAGTATCTGGAGGAACTGAAAAACTTGGCAGACAGAGAAGGTGTGTCTCACCGTGTCAGGTTCATCACATCTTGTACTACTACTGAAAGAAACACTCTTCTTTCTGAATGCCTATGTGTTCTTTACACACCTAAGGTGCGGCATAATCCGATCGGCCCTTCAATTTGACTGGTTTTTATATAATTTCCTTTTTCTTAGTAAACATGATGGATGTAGGATGAACATTTTGGCATTGTTCCTTTAGAAGCAATGGCAGCCCATAAACCTGTTATTGCGTGCAACAGTGGGGGTCCAGTCGAGACTGTAAAAAATGGAGTGACTGGCTTTCTATGTGATCCTAGCCCGCAAGAATTCTCTACGGCTATGGCCAATTTCATTCGTGATCCTCAAATGTCTGAGGCAATGGGCAGAGAAGCACGAAAGCATGTAACAGAGTCGTTCTCTACCAAGATATTCAGCCAGCACCTGAATGGATATATCATCGATACAGCTCGAGGAAAGAGAGAATGAGTAAGGCCGTAAACAATGAAGTTGCATGCTTTTATTCTCGATCACTTTCCCAACCATCGTGGAATTACATATTGAAATATTAACTAACGTATAAAGATTTAAACTATAATAAATCCTCAAAAATTAGATCTCATTGTTAGTGTTAATGCAAATTAGTACAAACCTTATATTCCTTTTCTTTTCCTAGTTATTTTTAATTTATTCAATCTTAATTTTGTCAAAAATCATGGAACGTAATCACAAGATCGATATATGACGACTATAAGAATATACGTTATACATTTTATTTTTTGAATGTATGGAGAAACTTACGAGGATATTTTCGAAAATCACTGATTATTACGCAGTCGCTCCTCTTTTTTTTAAGAATTACAAAATCCGATTAACCGTTTATATTTCCTAGTTTTCCATTTGTACTTCTAATATTATTGAAACTATTATCACGTGACATTTAAAATAAGATCATTCCTTTCAACTAAGAGTAACGTCTTTAAATTTGTACAATAATGTTCTATGAAATATAATTTATTGCTTGAAAAAAGTTTATGATTGTGAAAAACTTGTTTGTTTGCAAATAATTAACTATAAGCACAATTAATTGTTCAATAATTAATAGTTATGCAATTATTTTTTTCCTAAGAAGGACGTTTCTCTAATTTCGAAAAATAGAGAGACGTCTCTACAATGATATATTATTATACGAGAGCATTTACTCCGCTGGTTGTCATCCCTAGTTAGTAGTACTTTATAGTACTTTACGTATTATCTTATCTTGACATTTGAAAATATCTTACAGAATATGTGTGTCATTTAACATGTTGTACCACAAAAGCAGCGCTTTGTTACTTAAATATTAACAAAATATTTATTTCATCATCATCGAAGATATCCTTTGAATTAAACCAGCGAGTCGACTTGAAAATTGTATCGACTCCCTAATCGACTTCTTATAATAAAATCTTTTGTTTGGATACTACAATTTACACAGGAAGAGAAGGGTTATCAGCAGGAGAGACTGAAACTGGGGAGTTAACAATGCATTGTTAAAGAGTTCAATGCCATAGGAATTCAAATATTACAAAGCAGATGGCGATAGTTTCGAGTCTTCTCATGATGTTTTTCGAATGGTACGTCCTTTGTGGCTTTGCATGGGAAGTTATCTGTGTTTATTCAGGTCCACCAGTCTAATAAGTTTAGGCATTGGGGTTACTTTGAAGGTCCTTTTAAAGGACATGCTCCTACTGGAGAATTGGTTCAGTTTTATGGGATTGGAATTCTCAATGTTGATGAATCACGGAGGGCAGAAGATGTAGAAATTTACTATGATCCAAAAAAGCTTTTGCAGGTTTGCTTAAAGGCCTGGCTAACACCACAAAGATGCAGCTGCTCATAAATGTCCATTTAATATGTAAAATTTGAATATTCATCCTACTTGGTACCGATGGACATTCAAATTATTAACTTATGGAATGCGTTCTTGTTCAATGTTTTTGTGTATGTTTCGCCCCTGTTTGGTTTAGCTAAAATGCACTGTTATCCCTCCGAGGGTCTTGTACGTATGCTCCAAATGTTCAGTTCAAGTGTGTATAAGTTATGATCGTATCCGATTTACTCGAGTGGCAAACCAGGGGGAAACTCGAACACTGGAGTCATAAAAAAAAAATCAGACTTTTAGTAAATTTTTATAAAAGTTGATAAAATGTATCGTTGATAAGTTTATAATTTTTTTGGGTCTCATGGTGTCGTTGAAATGTTTATAAAAGTTGTAAATGTGTGGTTGAAAATAAGTTTAAAGAAATTATGAATTTTAGAAAAAAAAGGGCAAAAGAGGATCCAAATTCTAAAGCCTACAAAGTGGTTAATTCGGAAGTCTCCTTGTTGGTTTGTTCATTATTATGGCCGCTAACGATCTACATCTTCTAAAATGAAGTGAATAGGGGCGGCAAGAAAGAATTATGTAACTGTGAAATGCTTGGAGATTAATCTGTGTAATGTTCTTCAAACAATAGAGAGAAAATTACACTCTCACATAGCCTTGTTTCGTGTTTAAAATGTTAAGGGGATGTTCTCTTCGTATATCAGTTTTTAGTTTTGAATTCATTTTGGGTTCTGTATTTTAAGTGTCCATTTTGAAATTGTTTTTTTCTTTTTTTTTTTTTGATAATCGTGGATGTCCGGGCCAACTTGCGCGCACCTCGACTAATTCCACGGGGCCCTGAAATTTACGGCCGGATACTCGCCTCAGTAGCCCTGAGGAGACTCGAACTAGTGACCATTGGGGAGCAAACCCAAGGTCTGACCAATTGAGCCACCCCTTAGGGTTTTTTGAGATTGCTGAAAAATAGTTCTTTTTGTTATTTTGAAAAATTATTTTAAAAAATAGTAATAATAAAAATAAAGTTTTGGTTTGGCCTTAACTGAAAACAGTCAAAACTTTTTGGCGTTTCCTTTTTCTTTGTAAATTTTAAAAATTTATTTCTGAAAATAGGTAACTAAACGTATTTTCAGTATTTTCGTAAATTGAAAACTGAAAATAGTTTGAAAACAGCAAAGAGAACATACCCTAAGATTTTGAAAACAAAATCATTAACTAATAATTAGTTTTACTATTTAGGAAATTTTATAGCCGGGTTCCACACTTTCAAAAATAATTTGCATAATTAATAAAAGTTGAGTGTTGCACACATAATATAACAAATTAAGCTTGTAAATTTCACAACAATTTAAATTTTTAGACAAGATTCTAAATTTATCATTTGATGAAAAAGAAAAATGAATTTAACTCACATATTAAATTTCACGACAATTTAAATTTTTAGACGAGATTATAAATTTATCATCTGATGAAAAAAATGAATTTAATTTACATATTACGCATTGAAAGTTGAGACGTAAGTTTATTCAGATCTCTCAAGTTAAGAATTCTACTGAAAGCAATTAGCCTTCAAATTATGATTCTTCTTAATAAAGACAAAGGTGCTCTTTGACAAGATCCATTTTTTGCTTCAACTAAGAATCAAATCTTAGTTCTGCAGTCCCAAGATTATTTTATTACATCTAATGTGATCTTAATTTGATGAGGACAAGCCTCCTTAAAACCCCTTTTGTTTTCGAAGCATCGAGTGAATTATTTTTAATCATATATTCTCTTTAAAAAATTATTTTTACCGTTTGCCTCTAATTTTTCTCCATTTTTTAATTATACATTCTCCAAAAGATTCACTTCCATACCTGCGCTTGAAGTCATTTGACAGGACTTTTGCTTTTATCTGTGATTCTTGTATAGGAGTTTTATGAAAAAAAGTTAAATTAGACCAACTTTCTCTTAAACCTTTCTAATGGGATGAAGTTCTTTCAAAAAATTTCTAACCATAGTCTCAAAAATAATTTTTTTTTTTTCAAAAGTCTTGTCAATTGAATTTGAGCCCTTAAATATTGTAATATTTTTAAGTAATATTGGAATGTCAACCAAATTATGTTATCTAGAATAACTAACTATTGACTTGTTATTTGTGCCTACCTTTTGTCCTTTTTGATTGTCGTGTCTTCCAAGCCTTGGGCATGAAGAAAGCCATCAATCTATTTCCATATTTGTTTTTTATTGCATAAATTAAATTATTTTTTCATAATCTAGAACACTTTGTTTTGGTCGTATTTGTCGTCCATTTTATCAACTATTGTTTGCTACAGTAAACTATTTCTGAAAATTACTTTATTTTTCAACCACATTCTCCAAAAAATACAATTCAAAACTCTATTTCTTCTCCCAAAATGGGAGACAAACAAGCACTTATTATGATCCAAATATAATACTCCATCACATATCATAATTTTCGGAACCGTTTTAGCCAAATTAATTGTTCATAGTCGATCCAGAAGTCTAGAAGATTAAATGTAATAACGTACGACGATACATCAAAGACAAGTTTGACCCTATTAGGAGTCCTTATGCTAAAAGCGACTCAATTATGTGGTCGAGTTTGCGTACAAACTATAAGTCACTGCAGATGATAAGGGCCCTTGTGGATTTGGGACCCCATTGACGTTGCCATCACTTCAAAGGTTCATCCAGGTGAAATGAACACAAGTCTAAGTAATTGGAGGACACATTGAAATTGCAGGCGGCTTAGTTCATTTATACCTACTCAACTTTTCCAGGAGGCATCACAAAATTATACTTGTAAAAATATTCCTTCTTCAATTTCAACTCTTTGACCTAGCCAGCCAACTATATCTATATATCAGCATGCAAATCCTCAACAATATTGGCATTCCACAACTTCATTACATTCTTCAAGCTTTTCACTAATTCGAATCCAATCGAGCTCGACATGGCACGTTATGCACGATTTTCGCTTATTTTGATAGTCGTACTGATTTGTTTCACGCAATCGTTGGAAGCACGTAAGTTTCTCGAGGATAAGATATCTACTTTGGAGGAAAGTTCAGTAATGAGTGCCCTTCCCAAGGGCACTATTCCACCTTCTTCCCCAAGTGAAAGAGGTAATGTTGTGGCTAATGGTGGAAAACTCTTTGGTGTCCAGCCTGGACATGTCGATCGCAGTTTAGTATCTATTCCTAGTCCTGGTATTGGTAATTGAATCTCTAGATGGAACTGCCATGAGACGACTTATTAGCATCTGGTTCTTGATTTTTCTCCCCTAAAACTTCAAAGGAGTTACCTTATCTACACATTCTTGACAATTTTGTAAATTATATATTATTCTTCTCAAGTATAAATCCCTGTATGTTAATCAAAGTAAACTATATGAATGATTCTACTTTAGTTTTACGTTTCTTTAGTAGACGAGAGCTCGTTGCGCGCATCGAGCAACGCTTTGATTGAGCAAGCCAATTCACGCTCGACTTGCCCCATTTAACACCCATATAAATTTCAATCCCTACTTCTAAACCTAACACTTAATAAATCTGCCTTTCTTTTATAGTTTTGTGTATGCTTTTGAACAGCTCTGCATTAAAATAAATTTCTCGACATTGAAATTTTGAAATAAACAAACTATTTATAATACGTACACTGACAGATACGGACTTGTTAACAAATCGCATTTTCCTTTTCTTACTTGTAAATGAAAAACTAAACGCCACAGACAAAGCATGAAAGATAAAATAACAACGATCCGATATAGTCGAATCCTCAAATTGTCGACCAAAGATCAAAGTTCGGCAGAAATCTCCACGTTTTTCATTCAACACATGTAGGTAGTGTTCATGTATATTTTTAAATTTTGTCTCCAACACGTCCCTCGCTCGTAGGCAAGGTTCATTTTCTGACAAGTACACAATTTCTTAAATATTTGATAATGAGACTTAAAACTTGGAACTTTTGCTACATCAGATCTTTAAGTTTAAATGATAAAGAGATATACATATTTAATTATTTAAGCCCAATCACATATTTAAAAACTTATTTTTTTGTTAAACTCATTTTCAACTATGCATTCTTCTAATAAAATAATTTTACGAGTAAAGCTAAGCCTTGGTTGCCATTTTCACACTAAAAAAGCATTTTTTGGTCTTGTCAAGCACATCTGCTACAGTAACTTGATAATGATTTCAATTTCAAATGTTTCTGCAGTTTCGGTTTTGCCCTTCGACTTGTGCATTTTTGTTCAACATACATATCACTGATTTGATTTTATTTATTTATTTCATTGCATTATTGTCCAACCACATGTGTGTTCCATGTGATACACAATTTGCTTCGTTCGGATATCGTGCATATTTTTGACAATCCAAATTTGGAAGAATCTTTTTATTCAATTATTCACTGATTGTGCGTGTACATTACTCTAATTATTAAATTCAATAGAGACATCGAATTATGTTCCCATGTTCGTTCAACACTAGACATTTTTGAAAAAGTCACATTTTCGCATAAAATTTGAAGATCAAAGTTGCTATGCCATATAATCGCGAAGTTGGTCCCTTTCGGCGTAGGTTTCGTCTTCCGCGTCGGTAGGTCAATATCAAACGTGTCATCATTTGTTTCTGCTCTATCAAACGCCTTGTCCACAGCTCTAGATCGACGTAAAAAAATTATGAATGCCCATCATTGCGACAACGACTGCAACTTGGGTTGAAAACGAATAGCTAGGCATACGATCAAGTATTTGTCATCTTTTTTTCTACATACCAAATGCTCGTTCTATGACGTTTCTGCGGACGAGTGTCTATAGTTAAAACTCTCATGAGCATTCCGAAATCGGCGACGACGATCGGATCCATCATCGCGGAACTCCTGAAAATGATACTATATATTTGATCATTTGTAAAAGACCATGTAGCCCGGTCGATGAGCAAACCCGACGTCAATCAAATAATACTTACCCAGACCGGGTAATGGAAAATGAATTTTCGGACTGTGTATAGCATGCGCTAGTCTTCGCGCGTCATGGGTATTCCCGGTGGTACCTGTAAGCTTGAATGTGAAACACAAATTGAAATCGCATGCCACCAACACATTTTGCGTCGGCACTCCTTTGCGGCCTATAAAATTCACCAGCTCGCTACGCGGTAGCACAGCTTTACATCCGTTCCATCAATAGCACCAAAGTAGTCTTGAAACAAATGATGCTTCGTGGGGTCCGGCTTGTGGGCCTGCTCACCCCTATTGTAGTCCGATCTTGGTTGTATGAGACGTGTTGATAAGGCGACGACAGCGATGAATACCTCCTTAAAATAATGGCACACTGTTTGCAACAATGATTGAAAATAGTATTCACTTGGCAATATCATTTTCCATGAGCTGATATACACAAGAACATTCCAACTTGCTCATAGATATCGACATGTTGCCTATTGCGTAAGCCATATTTGTCAAGCAGAATATGTGCGAAGTGTCGAAATAGTTGTGGATACGTTCGGAACTCTTGATAACATATCTTGGCGGTATCTTCAATTGCTTCCTCATGAACAATTGTCCATTTCTTGAAGATGGAAATCGTCGAATACGATGACGTTGTTTGAGATAATTGTTCCTGGCATCGCTTACTGAGATATGACAATATGTTTTCTACTAGCGGCTAAGAAACTTCTCATCATTGACTTCTTCTCCGTCGTCGGATCCCGATAAAAGCGCAAAATTGAAGTTGAGATCATCTATTGATGGAAAATGAAGATCACCGAAATTTGCAATATTACAAAGATTTTTACACATCGAACAAAAAATTCACCATTCATGTGGCAACCAACGAAGTTATATAAGAGTGAAGAATCATTTCCCATGTTTCATTTACGTGAAATGCAAATAATTGTACCACTCGGTTTGAAAAATAGGTCGCTTGTACATTTTTGACATACTACAGTTTTCGAGCAGAAACCTTTTTCTTCTTCCCTTTTTGCCTGCTCAACGCCAACTTCCTCTTTTTGCCGCTTTTGGCATTCCACGTGTGCATGCTTGAAGTATTTTATGTTTGTCGCCCTCATCGCTGGAACCAGTAATCTCCTCCTCAACAGGGATTGCATCCCTATGGTCTTTGAGAGTACTGTCCTCAAACAAACTGAAGCCCGTACGACATAACTTCATCGGAGTGATTGCGTACTTGTCACCGTCGTAACTATCTCGTTAACGATATCAAACATAGATATCATTCACGTCTTTATCCTTGAAGTCCTTGTACTCCTTGTTCTCCTGCAATTGCGTTAGTACTTTTAATAAAGGTAATGTGATGCGGATATCGTAATGTAATTCGACAATGGAAAATCCATAAGTGTAGCCTATTAAATTCAACAAATTTTACACAATTCCCATGCTAGATGACTGGTGAGTGTAAGAGATGAGGTTACGAATACAAAAATTTGATCATGAAGGTAGATGAGAGAAATCAAAATCTGCTCCTACGTAACGAACTGTGAAAATGTTACTTCCAATGCTCGTTACAAGTTCAGTATCCCTATAGTTAGCGGTGAGTTCAGTGTGTAACACAATATGCAGCCAAAATTAGAAGGTGACCAGAGTTACATCATCATAACAGCGCAACGAATGAGAACTAAGTAGACCCGATGTAACCAACAACCATAACCTCACGCATTGACCATAACATACGTCGAAGTGAATGTCTAACAGTTATTAAAAACCTCACCTTCAATTTTCGGGTCCACCATTCGTCGGATGCTACGATCGGACACTCGACGGGTTGTATAAGACCCATATACATGCTAACAATTCCGTTTGTGTTCCCGACAAATTGCGTCCCAATGGTTGCCCAATGGAGTTTACTCCAATTGTGGCCTGTTGTTTGGTTGAACAACATCAGAACTCGTTCCACCCAATTTTGTGAAACACTTGTCGTGCCGATGGCCTTCGGCAATGGCCATTTCACAAGTGTTATGAACGATCGCCTTTCTGCATCTCTCCATCAGCATATTTCTTGGACGACTCAACATACATTAACGAACCCGAACCGCGAATTTCACCGGTCTGCAAGTCGAAGAAATCGATTTGGAAATACTAGAAAAAGAAAAATAAAACATAGAAATTGCGATAGCATACAAGATATGGAAAATCCACCTGAGAATTGAATGGGTCCATGCCTGCAGTGTAGTCTCCGGAACTGGCGTGGAAGCTCTATTACACTCGGAGTCAACCAGTTTTATGATGGGGAGCACCGTAATTCTGGTCGTCTTTTTCGCTTCTCCGCCAATTGCGAACTCTTCAACGTCTTCTTCGTGTAAACATGAGCGTACAATCACACACCAAGTTTTCGTTTCTTCAAGACCCGCTATGTCAAACTGATGTGCGGCTGACAATTGAAGAAGTGGAGTCAACCAATTTTATGATGAGAGAGCAAGAACATTTCGATCATCTCTTCCAAATCGCGAACTCTTCAACGTCTTCTTCGTGTAAACAGGGGCGTTTTATATGCAACCAAGTTTTCGCCAGTTGAAGAGTGATAGTGCGACTGGAGCTTGAAGAAGTGGTCGGAATAAGGTAGTTGGGTACCCAGAATCGTCTTTTCCTTTCAATTGAAACTGTTACGTATGGGTAGGTGAGAGTTGGAAGGGAAAAAATCAATGCATTTGTTTTGGGTAAAGGGTATAATCATTTCTAACATCTCACTGTTTGCACAGTGAAGATTGTACTGGGATGTCGCCAACATTGTTCCAACGTTCATATTTTTTCTACATTTTCAGAATAAAATCTGCCCCAAATAGGGACTAAATTTTTCCTACTTTTTAACCACACAATTTCCAAAAATTGGATTGATTGAATGTGCTGAAAGATCGAATAGGCTTTTGGTTTATTAGTATCAAAGTACAAACTCTTAACTGGGAAAAGAGTCGAGATCATTGTTGGGATAGCAAAGGGACTAGAGTATCTTCATGTGTATCGCAATTCCACTATTATTCATCTCGACATCGAACCTCAAAATATCCTCCTCAATGAAGCGCCTGTTTGAGCCCTATTTTTTTTCCCCAAAATGCATTTTGAAATAATATTTTGATGAGAATTTGTAGTTAAAAAATAAGAAAAAAATTATTAATTTGCGCGTAATATTATTTTATTGAAGAATGTATGGTTGAAAATAAAAGATAAAAAAATATATTTTAAAAATAATGAGGTCGAAACAAAAGTTAAATG